TTCAATCACATCACATGCATGTGAAAGCTGGACAATGAATAAAGAAGACCAAAGATGAGTTGATAAGTTTGAGTTGTGGTGTTAGTGAAGAATACTAACGGACCACAGACTGCAAAAAGAACTAACAAATGTGTGTTGGAAGAAGTGCAGTCAGAATGCTCCTTGGAAGCAAGAACGGCCGGACTTCACCTCAACTTCTCTGGTCACATTGTAAGAAGGAGCTATTCCCTGCAGAGAAATACCATTCTTGGTAAAGTGTAGGGTCAACAAAAAAGGCAAAGGCTCTCAATGAGACAGATTGACACAATGGCTGTAACGATAGATTCAGATACATCAAAGATCCTGAGGCTGGTGCCTGACTGGACAGTGTTTCATTCTGTTGTATATAGGGTCACTGTGAGTCGGAGCTGAGTCGGCGGCACCTAACAACAACAACATGAGTATGCTGCTGTTAACTGTACATAGAGTCTCCAGCTGTAGTCCCTGTTCATGTGAAATGACTGCCAGAAAATCTAAAGATGCTGAATGAAAACTGTTATGATGAATAGGTGACTGTGATTCAGTCAACAGGAGGCATAAAATTTTTACTAATTTTCCTCTTTCCTTCATGTTTGACCAAGCAAGTTTACTGTATAAAGTGTCACTTGTACTACATCCTTGGTTTAGCTAACCGCTGCCATACATAAATTCTAGAAAAACTCATTCTTGCCAAGCAAACAAATGCCTTCCTCATATGAACTGATAACTTGGGATGTAAACTGGATTTTTTCTTTTGTATTTTTTTTTTCTGTTGTTGGTGAATATATCACTAATTCTCTCTCCGTTTTGTTCCATTGCCTTTCCACAATTATTATTATTCATTCATTTTATGCATACATACACACACATATACATATACATACATACATATATACACACATATACATATACATATATACATATACACACATATACATACATATACATACATATATATATATATATATCTTAAGTCAGATGTGGTTGCAGTAATTGTGTGTGTGTGCATGAGTGTGCAAACATTTCTCACATTAAGAATTGTATATTTATTTGTTGTTGTTATTATGTACCATGGAGTTGGACCCAACTCATAGCGACCCCACCTTGGGTTTCCGAAGTGGTATCACTAAGGAAATCGATTGCCCAACCTTTCTTCCCAGGAGTGACTGGTGGGTTAGAACTGCCAGCCTACTGGTTAGCAGTCAAGTGCCCTAAGCATTATGCTACCAGAGCTCCTAAGAACTGTAAATTGATGGGGCTTAAATATCCTTGGTGTTGTTGGTACAATCCTACACGTAAAGAGAGGAAATACCAAAAAGCAGCAGACATCTGGGTTATAAATCCAACTTGGATAAGCAAGAAACACTAGCCTTGGGGCTATGTAACTGCATGGTTATTGTCTCAGATTGCCCACACATTCACTGGGTCTCTGTAGTTCTCTGTCTCCTCAATTTCAAAATGAGGACTGGGTCAGTGATTCTCAAGCTTGGCTGATTGTTCCAATTGCTTTGTGATATTTTAAAACAAGTAATAGGACCTATTCTGTTGTTGTTGTTATGTGCCATCGAGTGGGCCCCGACTTATAGCGACCCCTCCTTGGGTTTCCGAGGCAGTATCACTACTGAAGTAGATTGCCCCATTTTCCTTCCGAGGAGTGGCTGGTGGGTTTGAACCGCCAGCCTTCTGATTAGCAGTAAAGTGCCTTAGCCACTATGCTACCAGAGTTTCCAGGACCTATTCT